TGGCCACTTAAGTAACTCTTCTGTTGCTGAAGAGGAAATATTGGGGAATGAACTTGTTCTGGAAGAACCAAAAAGAAACTCCACTGAAATTGCAGGAGAACAGATGACAAAGGTTGATCAAACTACTGCAATTGTCATACACACAGATCCTTTGTTGCAGCAGCACTTGCATGGTAAAAGAAGAGCTGAAACTGTGGATTTAACATGTAGAAAATCTAAGCGTGTTTCAACACAACGTAAGTGCGGTAAACAGGTTAACAAAGTTAGAGATGAGCATATGCTGACTGACTTTCCAAGAATGTTAACTAGGAAATCAGCTTCCTTACTTGAGAATGATAATGCAGCGGGCATGTTTGTGCAAGTTAAAAAGCCTTCCACGTTGTAAGTGATCTTATGAAATTTCTTTCAAGTTTGAGCAAATTATCCTATATATTCTTCAACAACTAATAATTTCAACTTTATTTTCTGCTGCAGACCAGATATCCTTCCAAACGGGCAACGTAAAAGAGTATTATGGCGTCGCGAAGAGGAAGAGATGATTGAGGTACATTTCCAGAAATATCTACTGTATAGGTTTGTTTCGGTAGTGTGAGCCAAGGATACATAGTGTCCTTACGTTGGAAGATCTGACATCTATATTTTTAGACTTACTAGGTACTGACTTGATTACAATGATTTGGTAGTTGGGTTAAGTTCATCGACTGAACTTTGATAATGCTATCCTTATACCACCATTTCGTCTTCATCTTTTTTCTTTTGTTCTAGTTTTTGCAACTTCACTTCTGTCTCGTTTTTTCAACTTAACATTTTTAAGGTTCTTTATGCTTAAAAAGCCATATGTTTTGTGCAGCATTGACATCTTACAGACTTTGCAATTGATTTGGCTTGTCGTGTGTAGGTGTTAACCACTGACTTTCTTGTAATGGCTTCAATGGCACGGAATGACTTAATTTTATGCGCTTCATCCATCTTTTCCTGTAAAATTCAGGTCAAATGAGGGTGCATAAAATACGTATGGGAAAGTAATGGAGAAAGAATAAGAAAACTTTAGATATGTGATTTCTTGTGGTTATTCTTGCGTATTGCAATAATTATCCATTTTCCCGGGCTGGTTTACCACCACCTTCAAAACTAAAAGAAGAAAAAAGGGAGATTACAAACTGCAAAGTAAAACAGTCAATAGGACGAGCAAATATGAAAAAGTTTATGTTGATAATTCCTTCTCGCCCCTCTGTTAAGGTCAACCTTGTATCATCCTACAAGCTTCCCATTTGTACTTTGTATCTACCTTGTAAAAAATTCTGCACTTTCCAAACTTCCTGTTTGTTTGTTTTTTTGGTTGGGGTGAGGAAATTTCCCCTTGTTTACCCCTGCATTGCAAAAAAATGTGCTGCACTTGTATAGTAGGTATAGAGAGGAGAACAAAAGTCTGCTTATAGCAAAGGAAACAAAAAATCCTAAATAGTAACCTTTCTCTTGTATCACGGATGATAATGATTTATATGGACAAATATGTTATAGAAAAGTTCCATGGAGACAGAGAATCCGTTATCACATGCTTGCTTTAAAATTACGAAGTATTGAGACAACATTGATGCGCCTGTAAATGCACACAGTGTAGTGGTTCATATTGTTCATGTCAGTTGGCATCACTGGAGAATTTTGAGTGATTCATGAAGCTCAGAAGGCTCTTGTGATGAATGATGACAATATAAGTCTCACAAGCCTAAATACTAGATTGGTTGAGCAACCCACTGGTTTTTCTGTGTGCAGTGTCAGTGAAAAGTGGTTTGTCGCTGATGTTTGCAGTTATCTGATTCATTTGCTGATATGTCTGAGTTCCTGAGTTAATTATGCATGTTGTGGCTGCAGGAAGGAGTTCAAAAATTCTCATCCAAAGTAAACAAAAACACCCCATGGAGAAAAATTCTAGACTTTGGTCATCATGTGTTTGATCATTCTCGCACTCCAACTGATCTCAAGGACAAATGGAAACAAATGTGCTCTAAACATGGTGGTCGAGTTTGACCAGGAGTTCTTTGCTAAAAACATGTGAAATGTTGGAATTGCTTTGTGATATCCAGATTCAAATGTGTGATGAAGAGTACCTTTCTTCTTTCTTTTTGTGGATAGCTTCTTCATCGAGCAAGCAGGTCAGTTTTGAGGAGTAAAAAATTAAAATTAGTTGTAGTTTCTTATTTGTTAACATAAACATAACGTTGTTATGGGGTTTACTAATGTATTCTTTGGTTGATCGCTGCAGGCAACATGTAAATTTCCTTATAAATCTTAGCTTAATGTACCCGTTACTTGTCAAAGAACACAAGTATAGTTGATATATGGATAGTTTGAAAGAGAAATAGTTCTTGTTTGGTTGTTTTTCAAGCACCTTTTCTTTATGCTGTACCCACTCCTACACCCCCTGGGGGTTGCATAATAATAACCAAACAGGGGTTATTTGGGTTCGATAAAAGTTATTGGGTTCATCCGAATTTTCATTGGTACTATAGCTTCCTACCCCTTGCACATGTGAATGTAGCCTGTTGAGTTTCTCAATTCAACTAAGTTTTGTATGGAGTCTCGAGGCTAATTTAGTTATTTTAGTATAGCTGTTCATAAAAGATTTTATGTTAATTACATATGTTAAGGCTATTTCTTTGTTGATATACCCATGCAATTTGGAGTTCAAAATTGAAATTTTAGTTTGGAGTTTGTGTTTATTTATGATGTTTGAGCAGAACTTGGACATTTGATTTTAGATTTCAAATTTCTAATTCTATTGAAAAATAGAATTTGAATTTCAAGTATGTGATTTTAATTATTATTTTTTTATAAAAAGAAAATTATAGCTTGCCTCATAAGTTTTTTTGCAAAAATAGGCTTATGCTCGGCTTCAAGAAATTGTTCAGAGGGATTATGTTAAAGAATAGTTAGTTACGACTATTGTTTATTTAGTAGACAAATGAATTTTTTTTAAAAATCAAGTATATCTTACGCTACTTTTATTCCTATAGAACCCACAAGTTATTGCGTTAGATAAGAGATATAACTAACTACTTGTATCGAGCTTATGCCGTATAAGACAAAACATTGTCTAAATATATGTTGAACGAGTTAGCTATACATAATTTATACTCCATATAGCTTATTTCTATAATAAAACTTGCACCGGACAAGGCAAAAAAATTATTAATTTATGACTTAAAAAATTAGGTCATAGATAATTGATTTATAAAGAAGTTAAAAATATCATATTTGAGAGCAAAAATTGAAAAACACCTAAAATAAGGGCATCCGTGAGAAAACTTGTTGATAAACAACAAAGCAACTTTACAATTGAACTCAAATTGTGTATGAATTACATAAAACATTTTGAGTAAATAATTTTATTTTGTAGAAAGTGACGAGGATGACTACCACTAGGACCTCTTAACCATAAAAATCTCCACTCTCATCATACTTTTTTTTTGGGGTTTCTCATCCATTGTTTGATACGAGATATTAAATGAGTAGATTGAGTAAATAAATAGATTTTAAAATGGATATAAATAAAAATTGTGTTAGATCCTGACCCATCAAAGTTTACTTTCGACAAATGTGTTGGACTCAAATGGACTTTAAAACGGTTGGATCTTGGCCCGTTCAATTTTATCTGATTAATCTCAATAATTTTAATATATTATTATTATTTAAGTTTTATAATCACAATTTGAATTTCAACCGAAGAAATATTTTTTTAAAAAAAAAGAAGTACAAATACATAGATAAATTCTAAAAGATATAAAATATATAGTAATTCATATTTTTAATATAAGAACACACATTACATCATTGCGAATAAAAAGTCTTAAAACGGATTAAAATTGAAGATTAAATTGAGCTCAATTAAGCATTTCCTTGAGATTGGTTAAGGCTTGAATGAGTTCAGATTGAATTCAAATCAAGAAAATCTTGAGTTCGACTCTTAAAATTCTAGACGGGTTTGACAGATATTAGAACTCATTTTTGACATTCCTATTTGATGCCCATGTTGGAGCCCGACTACTTGTAGGTAAAGTGCTATCTCACAAAAAGTAATTTTTTTTTAAAAAAAAAAAACTTAGAAATAAAATCCGATTCCATGCAGGAATTGAATTAAGCTACTCGTTTTCCCAAATTCCAACTAAAAGTCGGGTTTTTTTAATCAACTCCTATTTCATTCCAGATTTGGTTAAAACTCAAAAAAAAAAGATCTCTATATATACCTTATGACTACTTTCATTATTTTTCCATCTTCAAGAATCACTCTTGTAAACAAATCTTGATACACAATGTCTCTCTTTCAAAATTGGACTATTTGTACTGATTACTTTGGTGTCAAGCTGCCATCGCCACCTCTCCCAACAAAAGAGAAGAAGAACACGAATTCAACAGATACAAAAGGTGGTTCAGCAACAGACAATGTAGGTGTTGGTGAAGGCAACAATGGCAAGAACAAAGCACACACTATTACTCCATCCTTTGATGGCTTCTGTGAGACAACGGAACAGGACAAGGAAAAGGCGGAGTTCAAAGATACAAAAACTGCTAAGAGATTGAGTACTGGTGCAGCAATAGCTAATGTACTTGCTGGTGGAAGTAGCAATAGCAACAACAGACGACTCGCCATCGTTCCAGCTTTTGATGGCTTATCTCCTTTTGAGATGTTTGTTTCTGATTGATCATTTTTCTTCTAGCTAAATTTAAAGAAACAGTGTTGTTTTCTTATTTTCATCTTCTTCTATATATATAGCAAGTAATTTTCTCTTCAACGTGCATAAACTCGAATTTTGATAGCTGTTTTCTGATGTTTTTCTTCAATTTCATATTCTAAAACATGATTCAATACATTTACCCACACTGGAACCTGACTAATCCGAATTCATGAAAATTGATGAAGAACAAATAATTCTTTTTCACTATAAACATACAGAGATGATGAAACACAAGTAAACATAAAGCAAAAGTGAGATCAAAGCAGATCTGGTGTAATGGTAGATTTATTTTTATTTTAGACGAATAATTTTTACAGCAACCAGGTAATGAGAAGTATCATAAAAGCAAGATGTACACTAGATTTCTACAGCATAGGAAAATAAAACTTCGGCACGTTTGTACCTCATGGCTGTTTAGCCAAAATCTTGGAGGGCAACCAAGTTATAACGCGTTCCTTTAAATGACGATTCCACTTGGAATCAAAGCATCCTTGATGACAGTGACAATCCCACTCTTGATGAAGTATCCATCTGTTTCCCTAGCCGCTTCTTGAACATTGTCTTTGTTAATGATCTGACAAAAGAAAATTTATTATTAGGAACTCATGCTATGAATATGGATACATGATATCGAGAAAAAACATTACACATCAATTGCATGTTCAAATGACACTAAGTCAGAAGTGTAAAAGTTTAAGGAATTTAACCTTCACATTGTCCCCTATACGAGCATTCTTGTCGATAATGGCTCTTTTGATGTGACAATTCTTGCCGATGCCAATTGGGACACTGCCCTTTGCAGCCAGCAGCTTCCTGTCAGCATCAGTCTGAACCAATAATGGGTCAGAAAGCGAGTCCGTTATAATAAGTGAATAGAGTAAGGAAACCACAAGCTCAGTATTTTCTTTATCATGTGTAGTTCGACTCTTAAGGCAAGTTGCTCCGCAGTAAACCATATACACAGCAAGTGTAATAAGCGAAGAATGTTAAATTCATGTTCGCGTGTATATTAGTTTTAGAAATGTTTTCTGGTAATCAAAGAATTATTAGCATTACCTCGTAGTAATCTGCCCCCATCAAAAGTGAGTCTTCTATAATTGCTCCCTCTGATATGCATGATCTGAGCCCAACCACGGAATGGTGAATCTTACAGTTCTGCAAACAGAAATATTGATTAATAACTATGTAGTGCTATACTATTTTTCTGCATTTTCTGGAGCACTGTATGATGAAAAATGAAAAAAAATGGTGAAAAGCATATTGCATTCACTTAGGGTCCAGAAAAGGTCCAAACCCAGGGTATAATGTAGACAACCTACCCAAAGCATTAAAGGTTGATTCCACGTCTCGGACCTGTTACCCTCTACACACACAAGAGACAACTTTAACGTTGTTCCAAGACTACTTCGATTCTCCAATATTAGTAAGTGAGTTTTAAATTTTGTGCGCCTCAACTTAATCAAAGAGCCAACTTTTAGATGTTATATTTCAGACCAATTGTCTCTAATAAGTCAAGATCTATAATATCAACAATATTTAGCCCTCTCCAACCATGATGGAAAATCAAACTGAGAAGAAAATGCAAGGCAAGCATGCCTCAGAGAGAAGAGAGTCCAATATACTTTACTTTATCTTCTTTATTATTTTTGAGAAAGATGGATGAGGTCACAGAAAATATTGAACATGTCAGAGATATGCCTCACATATTTGCTATCAAGACTGCAACTTAGAAATATAGGAGCCTTGAAACAATAACTAGTTACCTTGATCACACAACCTTCACCAATGACACTATCTGTGACATCGGCATCAAGCATTTTTGAAGGTGGCAAATATCGAGGTTGGGTGTAGATTGGGGCTGATCGGTCGTAAAAGCTTCAGTAAATATTGAAGACAACAATATTAGTGTCAAATCAAAGTGAGTGGATAACAGCGCAAGGTAACTATAGAGAACCATCTCCTTGAGATCAGCAAAATTACCTAAAATCTGGCACCGGCTTTTTTGTAATGCCCAAATTGGCATTGTAGAAAGCTTCAATGGTACCAATATCTTCCCAGTACCCATCATATAAATAAGCTTGCACCTGAGAACACAGATACATAAGACTTCTAGAAACAACACTAACCAAAGTGACCATTATCTTAAAAAGAAATTGAGCGCGATGCATCATTCTTTTTTGAGTTTCCACATTGATGACCAGAACAAGCAAAGCAACAAAGAGAAGAAAAAAAATAAAGAAAAACTTGAGAAGGGCAACACACGAAAGCAGAAGACAAAAGAGAGCTCATTTCATAACCATAACCATATTTGGAAGAGAGTTCAAGAACTTGAGACAGTAAGGCCCTATTGCTCTAGAGTAAAGGTCAGAAGATGCAACTTTTTTTATGCATTGAACACAGCAAAAAGTGTATATTTCATATTCCAACTTTCATGATAAGTAAAAGTAACATGAAGTGTAGGTTCTAGAGAAAGTACATACTCTCATCCCAAATGAAGTTGCACCAGGAATAACTTCACTACCAAAATCATTGGCCCCAGGAAACTTGTCACGAAGTAGGTTTAACATCACGTCTTTGCTAATGACATATATACCCATACTGGCGATAAAAGGCATTTCTTTAGCTCTCTTGTCATCAAGACCTAAAATGGTAGTATCCACCTGAAATACATCAAAACAAGAATTAACACATGCTAATAAATTCTTTCTTGAGTAGTTCTGAATTGAAAAGCATTAGGACTATGATAGTCATACTTTCATTGCTTGCAATTGCTCTCCTTGCGGTTTCTCTGCAAATTCAATAATGCGTCCTTCTTCATCAATCTTCATGAGACCGAATGCAGTGGCACGCTTCTCGTCCATTGGCAGTGCGGCAACGGTAATATCAGCATCTGTTTCCCTGTGGGCTTGAATAAACTTTTCATAATCCATTCGATACAGATGATCTCCAGCAAGTATAAGGTATTCAAGAACATTATGCTCCTCAAACAACCACAGATATTGTCTGACAGCGTCCGCAGTGCCCTACAGACAAGCATCAACACTTGTTATGCCAGTTTGTGAAGTAAACTAGTTCAGAGCAGCAATAAAGCATAAATAGAAGTTTAATTTAAGGTGTCATGCACGAATGACACCCGAGTTACAACTCAAATAATGCATTTCTAAACAGCTCTTCAGAATATACAAAGATATAGGTAGTTTAAGTGCTAATTGTATGCTTCATAGTAATTGAGTTGATATTTGTATCCTCGTATAATAACAATAACAGTAGTTTTAAGTGAACTCTATGCAGCGGGAATGAGAATTTACCTGGAACCAATCGGGGTTCTCCGGACTTTGTTGAGCAGCAAGAACTTCCACAAAGCCCTCGTTTTTGTATCCTCCCATATTGCTAGCATATGCCCGTGAAAGGTGGCGATTTAGAGAGGCAGAGTTGAATTGTGTGAGAACATAGATCTTGGATATGTTACTGTTCAAGCAATTGCTTACGGGAATGTCAATCAGACGATAATTTGCTCCAAGTGGAACCGCAGGTTTTGCTCTTTTTTTAGTTAGAGGATAAAGTCGGGTCCCAGCTCCACCTCCAAGAATAATTCCCAAAACACTCTACATTGCATAAACAATTCAAGTTCAGATCACCGTATTTACTTAGAGAAATTCAGCTTCTTAAAGTTTCCATATCAAAAAACAAGTTATCATAATACTTACTTCTAAGAACACGTGAATCATTGTCAAGCTATTACCAAATAAGGTTTTGTGAATACAATTAACTTAATACTACAATATAACTAGATTGATATACTTTTTATGAAAATATAAAAAGGTTGACATATTGAAATGGCAATCTGCCCATTATTACTAATACTAACAAATAAAAAGTGTTCAGTCTAAGGATTAGAAGGTGAGACACACACTACTAGCTATGCCTGAAAACGTTATTTGGACTCTTTGAAGTTGTCTTTGGGTGCGTGTCTGGTACTCCAAAAGTAGTGTATTTTTTAAGGATCCGACACGCTGGTGCAGCGATGTTTTGCTCATGCTCAGATAGTCAGATCCAATGACTACATTTTCCAGAACATATTACTAGTTTTAACAGCTTTTCCAAGTCATATCATCAATAATGCCTATCACGTGCATAATGAATCTTTGAAGAATGTTGGCAAAGAATTTTGTTAAATATTAAACAAAATGAAGTAATCCAAGCACATTTTCAAACAGGCACGTGATTTTTGTATCAGAAAGAGGGAAAATAGGTGAGAGGATCTCGGATCTAGAACTACCCAGTCAAAATACTTCACTCTGAAGCAACCCACTCCATTTTTTTTACAAGAGGATCTACTTCTCCAAACCGTCACAATCCAATAATCACCTCAATTAATCAGAGAAAAAAGTTCTACATTTTTATCTAATGATTATATACTAATGCATCTTATGATAAAATTGACTGAAATTTACTTACCCTGCTAGCATCTGGGTCCAGACATGTCTGTGAATTCTGCGAATCAGAAACAGCCTTAGGAGACACAATCAATGGACTTCTTCTCACATTGAATCGTACTCCTTGGGAACGTAAGGACGATACAGGCATCAACTTGTCTCCGGCGAGATGAGAAGACGAAAATGAGAGATTTCTGCTGGATATTGCACGTGTAGAATCATTTCTTCTCTCATTGATGCAATTGTGGGAAGAAGGTGAAGATTTTAAGGCTCCAATGGAAGCCGCCATTGTTAACAAAGCTTGCTCTCAACTATAGATACTATAGAGAGTGTGTGGTAGAGTGTGATTGCACTTAATTACAGCTGAGATTTTTGGTTTTATAATACTGATATCAAGGGTAACTTTATAGACTTAGTTTTGTGGGAATTTACGAGAGGACCATAGGTGTGACTGGTACACACTTCTTGTGATTGAGGGTATTTTGGGGATTGAAATATTTATTGCGATTGAGGGTATTTTGGGGATTGAAATATGACTTTTGTATTTTAGCTTTATTTTATTTTATTTGAGCTGCGTTGTTTTTTAAAAACAAGATTAAAAGATATTCTTATATGCTTAACTTATTTTAAAATTTTAAACAAAAAAAAAATCCTTATCAAATAAAATAAAATAAAATAAATAAATAAAAATGAAAAGAGTATTAAGAATTATTTATTAGTGGACGTCGTTTCACTTGTTTGCACGAGAGTTAGATATGATCACATGTGTTTGAGAGAATAAAAAAAGGGTGACGGACGTGTATGAGCCGTGCATTATTAAATGTGATTAAGAGTGAGAAAATGAATTGTTTAATCAAGATTTTTTTGTATTTAAATAATTGGTATCTGGTACTTGTAGACATGACAAAAGAGATGTGGAATAATTCGAAATTGCCAGAATTGATATTATACTTTATTCTATGCTGTCACTTTCCCTATGAGAGTTGATGTATCAAGTTTCAAGAATATAATTATAAAATAATGATAATGACTAAAGACCCATGTTGCTATGTTTAAATGGACGATCAAATTTCATCGTCCGTCCATTTTGCCAGTGAACATCAATCCCGTCATTCTTTTTCTCATTGGTATTCAAATTATACATCCTTTTTTCGTATGTAATTAATGAATGCATGATACGTTTGATATTCTGGACGTAAGTAATTTAGTTCACGATTGAAGTAAAAAATTCATATTAGGCATTTATACTTATGTATGATGTTTTTGAGCAAACACAACTTTCTATCAACTTGATGTAAGTAAATACTTATAAATGAAACTCACCATACTCTTTCCACAAGCCAAAGTGTGTGCCATTTATGTCCATCCCTGGCACACTGCGGTGCAAGAAACAGGCAAGGGCACATGAAAAAGCAGAGGATGCTCACATGTTCTGAAATAAATTCACATTTGACAACTCAATAAACAGAAAATGCACAAAGAAAAAGAATGTCTTTTATGTACCAAATTTACTTATTTTTGCACATATATTATCCTTTCATTAAAAGGAATAAACTAAAGAGCAATACCAAACTACAAATAAACAACCATAGGAACATAATAGGTTTGCGAACAATAAATGTCCATTTTCAAGTACAACAACCCCCTCCTTGTGAAGCAGCTCCGTCTCTTCCACCTGAAGGCCCCGGAATACCTCCATATCCAACTTTTATTCCATAGGACTGCAAATGAAAAAAGGGCAAGCATTAGTTTCGGAAACCATCTACTATTACGTAAATGATAATTATACATGTTGATAATCAATTATCACTGAGATTTACAAGTACTTACTGAAATACTTGCAACGTAAGTTTCTGTTTTCTTGGTTCTCAAAACAATGATTAGGACATTCATCAATGCTATTCTATCACTACTCAACTGAAATGATACTACATTAAACAGGGAACTCTGCTAACAATATGCCCAACTATTGGTCCCAGATTGGGGTATGAACTCACAAGTCAGCAGAATGCAGATTGATGGATCGGTATTTCTTTGGATGGTTGGAATAATATCTTCTTAACTTCCTCCAAATTAATGTTGCCTTCCCACACTAAGACAGCATGTTCCATATCCGTGAGTTCTAGGTATCTAGCTCTCAAAAGGACACTGAATTCACACATTATTTTTATAGGTCAAAGTAGATGAATTAAAGATCCCAGAAAATGAGAAGACTGATACAATTAGGAACTGCTTAAACATCTACTCCCAATTTGGATGTTACATTTTGCAAGACTATTCATCACGGAAACTGGCATCTCAGAAGCTATAACAGCATTTATCTGCAAATAATACAGCTAGACATTTGCAAATACACAAGACATGAACCCAACAATGGTTTCTCCAGATGGTCTTTTTTCTCATGCAGGATGTTGATCTTTGGTCAAGTGACCAGATTACATAGAGGATGAACCTCCTTAGGTGACATCTGTTTGCAGATAATTTATAGTAATTATCTTGCAGAAAACTTTCAAAATAGGTGTTCAAGTTTGTGTTTTTTTCAAGAAGTATTGGTCAAAAGACTTCCTTTAAAAATCATATTGCAAGAAGCGGTTTTAGCAATTTCAAAAGAAAAGTTATCCACTAATAAAACACACTCAAAACTTCAAAAAACTGCAATTATTACAAGATGCAAACAAGTATTCTTTTGGGGAATAAAATTCCAAAGTATCCAAACGCATATATGTTTTCAAAGGAGAGAATATCCTCCAACTTTTTTATTTAATTTCAATCAAGAACACAAAATTAAAACAGGTTTAGAACAAGCAAAAAAAACCTTCTTCATAACTCTTTACTTCATGAGATGTCAATTATGTCTTTCTAGACGATCGCCATTTTCATATTAACAGATGTCCACGGAAATTAGCCACACTAAAAGACTATAGATATATAAAAATGGTCAGGGCGTGACATACCTCATTTGATACATCAAACACTCCATCCTGTATTTTCTTATAAATTGTTGAGGCTGTTCTGATAAAAGCCTGAAAAGCAGCAGAAACAAGAAACCAGATAAACAACCAATTTATAAGTTTAGTTAGAGAAAGATGTCCATGGATGGATATTAAAGGTCAGGAAAGTAGCGGATGGAAGAATCCCCCACCTCTTCAACATTCTGAGCTGTTTTGGCAGAGGCCTCCATAAATATCAACCCATTTTCCTTGGCAAATTGTTCGCCTTCCTCGGTGCTTACAGCCCTTCTGTGAGCCAGATCACACTTGTTTCCAATCAGCATTATGGTCATGTTTGCATTTGCATGCTGCCTTGCATCTTCTAGCCAACTAGCTAGGTGATTAAATGTTTCCCTCCTAAAATGTTTTGGCATGGGGAAAACAAAATCACCAATACATCAAATAGACCAAACTTCCATAATATCTTCATATATACACCTTAGTTTAATATTAAATTTCCTTCATTTGAAGAAAAAAAGAATAAGAACAAAATAACCGAGTGCTTATAGTTAGCTTTACAGACTTGTTCTGATGCTCTCATAGCCAAAGACATGTTAGGCATTTGACTGGAACATCATTAGATAGGCTAAAAGTTATAAAGTGAAAGATTAGAAGGGAATGTTCATCGATCATTAGGTAAACATCGAAAATGTTCTGTAAGAAAATTAACAAAAAACTGAATATATATATATATATATATATATACACACACACACACACACATAATGCTGGGAACTTAGCACTTAGAATGCATCCTGGGGTAACAAGAATTTGTAGAAGAATATTTCTGGAACATTGATCAACGATAAAAGGAAGATCAAGAAATATATTCATTTATATTATCAGACATGTAACCTCAAGTTCCCTACAGGTATGGGAAGGCCAAAGACACTGCAGAGAATACCTTGTAATATCATAAACAAGTAGTGCCCCAGCAGCACCTCTGTAGTATGACCTCGTGATAGATCTGAATGATTCTTGACCCGCCTGTAATGGAGAACACTCATTAGATCATGCTTTTAGTCATTCAAACGACCAAAAGAGAACAAAGATTACACCATAAAAACGATTCTACCATCAACAACACAACATTGAACATTAGGATAGATAATCCAAAGTTCCTATTAAGCAGTAGCCACAACAACTATCTGAACTGTTAATTAATCTTAGCATTTTTTTTTGCATAAAACTTAATTAAATCAACAGAAAGAGAAGGAAAGATGTTTCACTAACTGTATCCCAGATTTGTAGTTTAATGGGCTTGTTGTCTATTGTGATCATTCTAGCCCCAAATTCAACACCGATGGTCAAATCATGAACTGGTTGAAATCGTTTGTCAGTAAATTGCAACAGAAGACATGATTTTCCAACTCCTGCATAACAAAATAAATAACATTATCAACAATGTCTTATACAAGACTTCTTCAGTTTAACATCATTAACCAATAAATCTAATCATTTATCAGTAAGAGACGCCAGGAGAAAGAGCACTGCTATAAGCACATAAAAAAACAAGGAAGTCTATGTATGTATTTAAACACAAACAAATACATGGCAAATCATGAAGAATTATTTAGCATGTTTGTCGTTATGCATACTACCAAGAGATAAAATTATCCTTACCCAAAATGTCAGTGCTCCTAATTAGTCCTAAAGGCAATGTGTAAACCATGCAGTTTCTTAAATTGATATGATGATAAAACTCTTGAATGATCATCTTTACCATAAGCTGCATATAATTTATCTCTAAATCAATGAGATTGCCAACACGAAAGCCTAACCTATAGCACAATATTCCAACTCTCAGCTTGTCCTCTATATTGATGGTACAGAAGGCTAACTGTTTTACTTGTCAAAGATTTTGCAAACTACACAACCAATGAAGAATTCCATTACTAAACTTACTCATCATGCTTTCACAAAGACACAAGAACCTATAAGTTAGACTCTCAAAACCACTAGTTGATGATACAATACATCCACAATTGCTAAAAATCCTCAAATGACCTTTAGATCAAATGCATTCCGCTGATACAATCCTCCGTTTTAATATGAGCCATTCATTGTGAGGACATGATCAACATCAATTTATATATGAAAAAAGCAAGTGATACAACAAAAAAAACCATAACATTCAAATTCTAGCAGCAAAGAAACATCACAACCACATTTAACATTTCCATAGCAGCATAAATGAATTACCATATATTGAAATCCTTATTCCAGATCGAGATAATTAAAAATTCATGAAAAGAAAAACTAAGTTCAATTCAAACTCACCAGGAACCTATTGATCAGATCCAAATCAGGTGTTAAACAATAAAATTACACAAATAAAACCAGAAAAATCAGGAAAAAAATATACCGGTATCGCC